TTAAGTAACTCTGAACAGTAAGTGCCTATGACCAGTAAGTATGTATGTTCAGTTACTAACTTTGAACACTAATAAACAATGACTTTCAACTTTTGTAACAGTTTCCAGTTTCCAGTGTTCAACAGATTTTCATCCAGTTTTGTAATTAGCCATTATATATTAATCTAGAATTTTGTGTACAATGTTATGAAAATCGGACTCTTTTATCATATAGCTGCCATACAAACGATCGTTAAAAATAGAGGAAAATGCAGGCATTACTTTATTGTTTTTTAACATATATATATAATTTATATTGTATTAATTCCTAGTGATCGAATTTCGGTCTGCAATGGTATACAAACTTCGGCGTGCCGAAATTAGCGTCCTTTCTTGTTATTCTTTAAAATTTATTCAAAACCCTTTTAAAGAATAAAAAAATTCTACTTTAAAGGAATATATATCCTATAACCAAACATAGCCTACCTAGAAAACACTTTCCGGCAGGACATCTCCGAACTGGCCAAGAGTCAATCGAAAGGATATTTGAATTTGTTTGCGGCGGAAAATAACCCAAAAAAAAGAGGAGACGGAAAAGGAAGATGGTAGAAATAAAATAAGAATGGGACGACAGAACTTTGTGAGCATCGAAATGGCAATTTCAAGTTTTTCCACCCTTTGGCGCTTCCGGCGCTTTTCCAGCCAGAGTTTTTCGCCCCTCTGCTGTGCTTTTCCCTTAACCCCTTCTGATGCGATTCGATTCCAAGCACTTGAACACGAAATGCGCACCTGGAGATTGGAGATGGGTTTTTCTTTTTTCCATTTCTATTCCTTTGGTTCCGATCAATCAGATATTTTTTGGATTGAGTTGAGGGGGAAACTATAACAAATTTTCAAGTAGAGTGAAGAGGCCATGGCAAATTGAAGGACGGTCAGTGTGAGTTCCTTGGGTCAGAGTTGATGATAAATTATTGATCTCTTTCTCTTGATGCGTTTAGGTCTCGTTTCTGTGCAATGTCTCGGGTAATTATCATTTAGTTCTGGCACTTTTTGTTTCGCCTCGAATATATAGTATATACTACATAGATTTATATATAGGGGGCCCTTTCTGGACAAAGAAGACACGCACATGATAAATGATTTCCCATTAACTGGCATTGAAACGTAGCACAGCGAAGAAGCAACATCAAAAATTGCAGCAGCAAATGATGTAAAGGGAAAATGGGGGGAAAATTCGTTATTTGGGGTGGGGCCCAAATCAAAAGGGATGGCCAGCGGGGACACTCACACACCGCACACACACATGCTGGGCTCCTCCACAATGGACAGCGGGACGTGCCTGCATTTTGTCATCCATCATCGTCATGCGATCTCTGTCTAGCCTAGCTATGGCCCTCTCTGTTTAGCCTAGCTATATCCCTCTCTGTCTGCCGCCTTTTATCACTCCGCAGCATCCGACTTATTTGTCCATGTTTTTCTTTTCTTTCGTTTTATTTTGTGGTCTTATCTGTTCGCTTTCTGTGGCTCCAGCCGTAAACAATTTTTGATTTTAACCCAATTCAAAGCAAACAAAGTGAATTCTTGATTTTCAGATCATTCCTCTAGCGACGGCGAGAGACTTTGATAGATGACCATGAAATATTAAATGGGTGTGACTTTATCTCGATGTGGATGCCATCATCCATCGGGTCAATTAGGGAACTATTCCAGGAAAAGATTTAGTTAGGCAAAGAATTTAGGGATTTACAATATTGTTTATTTTCCTGTAAATATTTCTAAAGTTAATATGAAATTAATTTAACCTTAAAAGGTGTATTTATAATATTCTGAATTATGAATTTCTTTTTAAAGTATATTTATATATTAGCAAATTTGTTTGGTTTTCTAATAATTAAAGTAACGTTTAATAATAAACATCTGCAACATATTGATGTTGCTCAACATGTTCCTAGCAACATTGACAACATTTTTGGCTGCCACATGCTGCTTGCCACATTTTCTTCTGCCTTTTGCCAAGCCTAATATAAGTTTTTGATACATTTTAACATAATGAAACAAAGAGAGTTAGATATGTTCACAAAACTTTTAAGCTGTAGCTTCCCTGCTTGCTTTTTTTATAATTTTTATTTGTATTTTTGACAATAAATACAATAGACAATTTACAATTATATTTTCTTTGGTATCAGTATGTTTTTTAATAATATTCCATAAAATAACTATTGAATAATTGGTAGTTTCCCCCTTAATGTTTGTTTATTTTGAGCATTAAAAATCAATCAGTTTCAGTGCATTTGTTTTGATTTATATTTCCCCTTTCCGGACATGATTTGAACACTCACTCACATATCAAAATGTCTCATTTTGCATAACAACCATTTTGTTGCTACGCGTCATTATCTCCTTTTATTCAGTCAGAGTCTGCCATTTGTCTGGCTTTATTTTTTGCTGTTTTCTCGTTGTTTTGTTTTGCATTTTAGCATAATCGTTTCGTTGCTCATTATCATTAACACTTCTGGCTGACATTGTGCCTAGACGATGATATTCGTTCATTTCCACAGACTCAGACATGCAAATAGCTTTCTGCCTGTGTGTGTTAAAGGAAAAACGCCCCAATGTATGCTACACTCAAATGGGATGCTGCTGACTCATCCAATCAGAGAAACACACGCAAACACACACACACACAGAGAGACTTACACAAACCAATTCAATCTGCAGCAAATTTGCCATAATTTTGAACGCTTAACTGTCGTCGGCCAACTAACAGGGCCAAAAGATTTACGGCCCTCAACTTATCACATGGCACAAGCAGATTCCCAAATAAATGGGGTAGAGAAAAGGGAATTATTCTTGGTAACAGTAGAGGCATGCGATGCTGCTGCGCAATTTTTGGGACACCAAAATAAACCAAAGACCATAACAAAATATATATATATATATATTTATATATGAAAATATATATATTTTCTCTGCACAGAGGGGCAGGGCTAAAGGCCTGGAAAAGTGCGGAGAAAAAATTAGCACGCAAAGAAACAAAATATAGAACAATGTTTGTCCTGATTTAAATGTTTATAAATAATAAATATTTACTTTTTTTTTCGGCACGGACTATCAGCAGAGATAATGTTAATTGGTCCTTAAATCAATACACATAATACATTTTATACATTGTTACAGAGGTATTTTAATTATAAAGAGAGTTCTCAAAGTTTTCCAAGAAAGTTGTGGTTAAAAATATTAACAAATTCTATGTATACTCTTAAGGAACATAATAAAATCTTGATTCTAACCTACTTGGGTTAAATTAGATTTTTCAATTTGATTATATTTAGGTATAATTAATATTTAGTTTTTTTAATAATTGATTCTTATCAACATGTCCTGGGGATATTTATCTAGCAACATTTCCCTATGCATACCGCCTGGTTTTCTCTTTTTTTAATATAATAAATGAAGAAGCGAAACTAGTTAAAACTGTAATTATTATACGATTTGTTTATACCATTAACTTTTGGCTTAAAATAAATAGTTCTTAAAGTGTGTTGCCCCACATGTTTTATTAACATTTCACCAGCAATATTTTTCTATGCCTTTTTCCACCAAAATTTTCTTCTGTATTTCCCCTGGTTACATTGTTATTTTCTTATATTAATTCAATAAAAAGAAAGTTATTCTTTCGTAACTCATTTCACTAAATGTGCTTATCAATTTTAATTGATTATTCGATTTATTTCAATACATTTTATTAGCCAAAAGCTAGTTCAATATTTCATGACCAAATATTGTCAATATTTTTCCCTCTGTATCAAAGGGAAGGAGAGCTTCGGGCAGACAGACGACAAGGACTTGTGTCCCAGACAAAACAGGACGCTGACTAACACACAGCCATGGCCAATGGCATCATAAAAGTTCTCTCCAAAAGCCTGGCCCGACGCCTCAGTGTCGTCGGTGTTCGACGGCGACTACTGCGACTGCTCCTTAATTTTCTCCTTAGCCCAAAAAGAACCAAAAAACCAAATGAAAACCGAGCACAGACCAGGACCCCAAAAAGAAAACCCCAAACTCTCCTCGTCTGTTATTTGACCTTTTTTGTGTGTGTTTTGTATTTGCTAATTTTGTGTCTATATGTCTCCCTGCTTGTTGTTTATCAATTGCGAGACAATAGGAATTTGCCTACTTCTAGGCGCCATTTTGTAGGCCTGAATGGAAAAGCGATTTTTCTGGGAAAATGTAGATGGGGGTCGGGAGGAACAGAAGAAGGGGTTGTGCTGAAAAACAAAAGGAAAATAACGCTGGCATTGTCATTTGGCCAAGGCGAAAAGTTGAACGAACTTTTAAACTCCATCGAATGTTTGTTTGCTTCTCAGTCTGTCTGATTTTGACTGGGCTTTGTCTCCCGAAGAGAAAGAGAATATAAAGTGACATTCTCATTCCAGGGAATGTTGGGAAAATCGGCTCTGTTTGTTTATAATGCGACACTTGAGCGGTGAATGTGAACATAAAGATTAGCATTGCGCAGATGGGAATATTTTTTAACAATAAGATATAGAAGGTTTTCAATGAATTTAGTAAGCAAAATGTTATAACCTTTGGAAGAGATATTAAAAAGATGGATTTAAAGAATGTAAATGATGCAAGCGATTTATAGAAATTTAGGAGGAAGCAGTGAAATGTTTATATTTTATAATTTTAATTTATTTTCTTCAATATTTGTACTTGTAAATTATTGGGGGGTACTAAAGAAATCCCTAGGTGTCAAAAATTGAGATACAATATTACATATAGTAAAAAATCTAATAGATTTTGTATTATTGTATCTGTTACTGAAGTATAGTAACTTGAATAATAATCTAGGGAATTTGGTTCCTAAAAACTGTAATTCCTTACTTTTAGATATATTTTTAAGTGTTTTAAAAGCTCTGGTGATTTCTTGATCTACCTAGTATATAATACACACAATTTCCCTATTTTCCTAATGCATATATAAACCTAATTTTAATATATTTTCCTTAAATTTCCAGGGCCGTCACAGATCCTCGGGATGGACGACGCGTGGCCTTGAAGAAGCTGCCAAATGTGTTCCAATCGTTGGTCTCATCGAAACGCGTTTTTCGCGAACTGAAAATGCTATGCTTTTTCAAGCACGAGAACGTAAGTGGAAAATTCTTAACCCCCTTAACTATCTTTATATATCTACGTACAGTTTACATTGTCCACTGGTGGCATTAAAAAATTTAATTAAAATATTTACATATACACACACACACAGCACTTTTGATTATTGTCACAGCGGGGAGCCAACTGTCTGTGTATTTATCCTTTATTTCTTTTTACGTAAAATATTACGTATACGCCGGGATAGCCCGAGTGCTCCGCTTGCCTTTTGGCTTATATCTCTCTGAATTTATTAACAATTATATTTTCCACTTTAGCCCCACCGTTGTTTTTTTCATATCATATTTACAACTCAAACAGGCGAGGGATAGCCTCGGGGAAAAAATATAATATCCTTTTTGGCAGAAAATTTTCCACATTTTCCCCTTGTCCCGTTGTTGTCTGCTCAAGTGGAATTATTGTTCGCTCGGTATGATTGTCATTAATTAAATGTTTGATATGGCACGTTAATTTATTGAATTTAAAAAGTTGTTCTTAAAGGACAAAAGCCCTCGTTTCACTTTGGTTTGTTTTCGCTAGTGATTCTGCGACAGTAATTAATCACAAGACTCTTGTGAAAGAGTGATTAAACCGTGAAATGTGAATGCAACGATACAAATTAATGCAAGATTAACATATATTCTTACAATAAATAAATTACTCTGTGAATGATCGATGTGGCCTACACTCTGTCAACATTTTCCTAAATGTAGCAAATTTATGGCAAATAAAAAAAATATAGCGACTGAATTGAACAAAAAACCGTGAATTGTTCAACATTTTGTGGCAGTTTTAAAGAGCCTGAGGCATTGGTAAAAAATTCATGAGTTGCATGTTGTAATTTTTGCCAAAATATATTAGCATACAACTTAAAAAAAAAGAGCACACAAAAGCACAATATGCCAGTAAAAAATATATAGAAATAAATAAATATTCTCTGTGAATTGTCAGCATTTATAATTTATTTACTTATTCATTGCAATTGCACGTGCTGAGAGCCATTGAAAGATTCGATTTGTTTCTATTTTTTTCAAGAACCTTTTGTTATGTTTGCCATATTTGGAGCATTTGACATTTGCATTATTATGTTTACCCCCAGCTAAAAAAAAAGACAAGGAAGAGGTGGTTTTATGGTCTGGTTTTTATATTGCCAAACTGTCACATATCATAAGATTCGATGCAGTCTTAAATGTCACGGTCTCTCCTCTCTCTCATATTTATGTGTATATATATATATTTTTGTAAAGCATTTCCCAATCATTTTCATATTGGTTCAACTTCATTAGACACCCAATAGGCCGTGGGCTGTCTGGAAATCTAATGCTCAAGGAGATGGCCAATATATATCTTTACCATCTCGGTTTATCCATCATCATCATCATCATCATTTCCATCAGCCTACATGATTTTCTCTGTATTTTTCCCACTTTTTTTTGTTGTGTCCGCTTGGCTGCGTGTGAATTTCGTAATGCAATAATAATAATGTTAATAATAATGAAGAAGAAGTCTGGGAGAAGTGGGCGTTATAGAGCAGACAGCCAAGTCCCCCCACCTCCGCCCCCTTAGCTGCAAATCGCTTTTCCATATGTCGACGGCAACAACAACAACCACAATTGTTGTAACACCTTGCCCAATATGCAAATTTTCTATTAATATGCATAAATTGCTAAAGGTGGGTGGGTGTGTGTGTTGTCTATGGGTGGTGGTAAGGGGGGAAGGCGGGGAAATAAAAGAAGCACAAGCGAAGGCGCGACTTTGTTGTCAACGCTTCAAGCAATATACAGAGAAAGAATAAAGGGGTTATAAGTTTAATTTGGATTTTTATATTAGGTTTGTTGTGATTAATTTATAAATTAAAATCTATTGAAACATCTACATTTTCAGGCAGCAGTTTTACATTTTTTTTAATTTTATAAAGCAAGTTTCTACCTTTTTTAACATCTATGTTTTTATAGGACAAATGAAAGTTTAAAAAACGCATAACTAAGCCAAAAGTGAATTAATTTTATTTCGGAAAGCTTTTCTATAATAGTTTTAATTGAACTAACAAATCTGCATACTGCGTTTGTTCATTCTACTTTCAGTTTTTGACTAAATTTATAAAAAGCCGCAAAAAGGTATAAAATCGGACAATTTTTTCCGAAAATCATAGTTTTAAAAACTCATATCTAAGCCAAAAATGCATGAATTTTATTTCGGAAAGCTGTTTTATGCTAACGTTTAACAGATTAACAAATCTGCATACTCAGTTTTCAAATTTAAAAAATTCAATTATTTGTCAAATTTTGACAATTTTAATGATGTAACCCCTTATAAAATGTTCAATTTTCGGAAAAATGTAAAAAATTTATTTTTTGACCGGACATGGCTATATCGACTCAGCTTTTGATGCTGATCAAGAATATATATGGTTTATAGGGTCGGAAATGACTCCTTCATTACGTTTCAAGCTTCTGACTTATATTATATTCTTCAAAAAGGTATAAAAACAGAACATTTTTGAGAAAAATCAAAGTTTTTCGGACATCATAATTAGGCCGAAACTGAATTAATTTTAATTCGGAAAGGTTTTCTGTGCTAGTTTTAATTGCACTAACAAATTTGAGTACTGCGTTTCTTGATGCTATTGCCAGTTTTTTACTAAAATTATGAAATCCCGCAAAAAGGTATAAAAACGGACAATTTTTTCCGAAAATCTTAGTTTTAAAAACTCATAGCTAAGCCAAAAAATCATTAATTTTAATTCGGAAAGCGGTTCTATGCTAGTTTTTAACAGATTAACAAATCTGCATACTCAGTTTTTAAATTTAAAAAATTCAATTATTTGCCAAATTTTGGCAATTTTAATGATGTAACCCCTTATAAAATTTTCAATTTTCGGAAAAATGTGAACAATTTATTTTTCGACCGGACATGGCTAGAACGACTCAGCTTTTGATGCTGGTCAAGAATATATATGGTTTATAGGGTCGGAAATGACTCCTTCATTACGTTTCAAGCTTCTGACTAGGATTATAATACCCTGCAGAACTTAATTCCATTTTTCATAAAACTCAATATGCTGCCTTTTTAACAATCAAAATTAAATAAAACTAATTTAAAACAGAACCATAAAAACTTCCCCGATTAAATTTAATGCTTTTTTCAATTAGTTATGACAAATTTACAATAAGTTTCCTTGATCAAAAGGTATAAAAACTAAGGTATTCAAACTTAGCTTACTTTTCTTTTTTTCATTTTATCATTTTCGTATTTATTTTTATTTTTTGCAAACTAATTGCAGGTACTCTCGTTTCTGTTGTTCCAAAAACTGTTTTCTATATTCCGAATAACATGTTTGTCTTTAGTTTTTCTTCTTTTGCTTTGCATAAAAATCCTATTAAAAACGATGACATATTTTCCTTATTTATTTTTTTCTCTGTGCGCCTTTTTGCATCTGTCTACGTTTCCTGTTTCATTTCCTACATGACAGACATCATTCAGAGAATGGCAAACAAGTGCAATCAACTCGGAACGTTTAGATAGAAGGAGACAGGGGCAGGACGGGGGACAGGGGCGTCGAAATGGGATGTCAGAGAGGGGGTCCCCAGACAAGTTGCTAACTGAGAGGGGTTCTAGGAGGAGGAGGTGGAGGAGGAAATTTACTGGGCTTGGCACGTGGCTGCCTTGCATTTTATTGCAAATTGGGCGCAACGTAGAGTAGTTTTCAAATGGCCCAAAACGAACGACTCAACTATTTATAACTCAATCAATGGAGGTTCCTCAATTTCCAAAGTTCTAACTTATCGAAAACGAAGGGCAAACAGAGAGGAAATCATTCTCCAATTGATTTTCTTTTTTTTGGTCATAAGGTCAACATTAAAAGAATTTTGACTTGATAAATTGATGCAAGTTAAAGGTGAAGCAAATATTGATTGATTAGTATTTATTCTTACTTGAAGTGAGAATATTGTTTAGAAAGATAAGTAAAAATTCCATCCTACTTTTCCTGGTCTGCTATTTTATTAAAATAAAGCACAAAATTCATATTTATTTCGGCAAACATTTCCCCTTAAATTCCAGCCATTACCTTGACCCTTTTTTCAATCGATCAAACCTTCAAAAGCCAAACCCTTTTCCGATTTGAAGTAACTTCTCCTCATGCTTTATGCATTTTGCAGTTTAACAAATCGCTGCCAAATGTTTGCAGCTCCATTATCCTTTTGTTATTATTGTTGCTGTTGCAAAAGGCACAACAACAGAGGAAAAAAATAAATAAACCAAAAAATTTCAATATATTTTTCAATGGATTTCTTATTGCAACGCGTACGTGGCGCACATTTCAAAAGCATTTCTCACATGCAACTCGGGGCTAGGCAAGAGTTTTTTGCATATTTTTTTTTTTATTTATTTTTTTTAGCCTTCCCCCTCCCCCAAAAGTCGTCCCTTCTTCCTCATCAGAGATGATTTCTATCTTGAATTTAGCTCCCTTTTCCTTCCGCCCGAAAATGATTGAGTTTGACGCGCTGGCAGCATCAATTGCATGCAAATTTTGTTATTATTCACATTGCTTTTTCACTCTTACGGCTCTTTGCAATTGAAATGTCAATTTCATTTAGATTTTTGTGAGGGATAAATGTATGTACAGAGCTTAGAGCGATATATGATGATTTTAAGAGGAAAATTGCATACCTCTGATGCACAAGAACGTATTTTTTGAGGGAAGTTCGTTGGTGAAAATAAAGATATATTAATGGGTGGAAATTGAAATATATATTTTATATCGAACTGAACTTTACAGAGAAATGATATTTATAGGGTTTTTATTAAGTTTTACTAGAAATATTCACAAATAATTATTTTCCTTGATTAAAACCCTTACCTAAAGATCATAGTTCAACATTTTATATATTTTTCTAATGAAATATTCATCTTGTTCTTTATTTAAAGATACCTATCACACAGGAAATAACCCCGAAAAAAAGAAATAATAACAAAACAAAACTAAACTAACTTGC